TGGCTGTGCGAATGTTCCCTTATTTTTCCATTTGAGATTCTTATTGATGTTGGATTATCCTTTTGGTTGGGTGATTAAGTTTGATTTGGGTGTGTGAATATATGAAATTTGATTTGGGTATGTGTGGTATGGAGGTTTATAAGAGATGGATTAGAAGGAATAAAGGTTTTCTGCATCAATTGGACTCTATTGCCAATGGAAGAACTATTTTTTTTAAAGCTCTCTGCTTTTATGGTGTGAAAACAAGAATGAAATTGGATTTCATTTTTAATATAGAAATGGTGGATATGTGTAGTTTATAAATTTCATTTCTGTGCCTAAATGGGTTTTTTGTTTCCATTTCAAAGTTTGTATATTTGATTAGTTTTGTGTTTGTTTGAGCATTTGTTTATATATGAAAAAATCATATATTTTCACATGCAATAGATTTTGGTTGTCTTTTGTTACATGTATAGTTTGATTTTCTTTATCAAAATTCTTTTCAACTTCATCTGTTCATATATGGGTTTTCCCCATCTGAATTTATTAGTTCGATTTTTCTTGTGTTTTGGAGTCTTTTTTGGTTCTGAAGCTCATCATTTTGTTCAAATTCCAGCTCATGCACCTTAACTATTACTTCTAGAGTTTGCTATCTGTTTGAGTGTGTCACCATAAAAATTGCTACTCCTTTTAGACAATGCCTTGCTGACATAGGTCACTTAAATTCAGATGATTCCTTTCACTACATGCACATTTCTATATCAGAAATTTTGCCAAATGGAGTTGTTTTGCTGCATTTAGATATTAATGCATGTACCCAGAAGATCCTCTTCGCAATTGTTCACAGTTATAACAATAAATCTTTGAAAATAGATTGCTTTTGCTGTTCATAGATACTAAACACAAATCTTGCACTTCGCCAGTTTGTCAGGATCACTACTTGATGAGAGTTTTCCTAACTGCACATCCATGCTTTCTTCCTCTTCCTCCTCATCTTCCTCTTTGGGTTTGCTAATTGGACCAGCAGTGCTAACAGAGACTGAAGTAGCTTTAGATGTTGAAGGTTTTTCACGAGAATTGGTATTAAAATCGTCACCTTCATTCATATTAACACCAACTGCACCTTGATCTTGGCCTTCATTCTCATCGGTGCCAGCAGGGGATTCAGGGGGTGAATCATCCTGCTCCTCAAAAGTAGCCTCAAAAGGATCCTTAGATCGCTTCATAGAATTCGCTGCACCAGAATGTTAGATTCAAGTAAGTTATTCACCATGCTAATCATTCATCCATTTTGATTGAGATATACCAACTTCCAACACAATAATGTGATATGTTCACGACAATTTTTAAGGGAGGCATGGTAAAAGTATATCTAGATTGATTTGGACCTCACAAAATGGCCACACTCTCCAACTAGGTTGATTGATAAATTAATGGAGTTGAACTGATGCAGCTCAGTTATTCTCAGGTCAAATGATCATTGCAAGGATGAAAAAGATTTAAGCATTCGGAAGGAAGGAAAGCCAAGATAAGGATGAAGCAACAATGTCAAAGAAACATTATTGAAGTTTGAACTAGAAGCGACACCATCCTTCAATATGTCTAGATTAAGATAAAAATGAATTATAGAAGACAAATACTGTACTATTTCTTCTGATAATTGACATTCCTTTAGGCAGCAAGAAGTCTTCATTTTCAGCCCACCAAACTTATGATATTCATCCACAAGCACATTAAAATCTTCCCTTACCAACCAAGGAGTTCATATATGAGTAGATTGATCATAAAGTGCATCTCAAAGTTCTATTCTACTATCTCTTGTCATTACTAGCATATTTCTGTAATCTGAGTCGATTGTAATGTTAATACCTGGTCCATGTCCATCACTGCTTGATTCTTGTTCACAATTGTTGTTCTTGTTAAATTATGATTAATAATTATATTGCTTGAAAGTTTTAACACTTTTGACTAAGCTTTATTTTTTGTCTATTACCTAGAAAGAAGATAGAATCTTCTTGATTCACATACTACATGTATGTTTAATTTTTTACTTTTAATTTACTCAAATTTGCACTGTGTAAAACGTGTTCTTGTTCTTGAATTCATTGTTGCAGAGACCCTTTTAAGCTCAAAGGCCTTTCCTGATTTTTCGATAAAGGTATGAGCTCTTTCTTATTATTGTTTGAGTTTTTCATTTGACTTTATGTGGGGTTTAATTTCATACTGTTTCGTTTTGTGTAGTTGGTGAGTTGGTATTTCATTTATTGTTTGTATAAGATTTTTGACTCCTACATTCAAATCACTCAATGACTTTTGGAGGCATGATCCTACAGAGCAAAAAGTAAAAAAAATTATAACTGGAGAAAGAATAAGGACGTATCATTCGAATAGAAGATAAAACATATCAGAACTTCTTACCATCTTCAGGAAGCACCTCAACAACTGCAGCACACAACTTCTTCTTCATTTGCCTAACATCATCTACAGTTGATACTATATTCCGGAATATTAGCACGATCTTTTGATCATCTATTTTCTTCTGTTCATATTCCGTTTCAGTGTTAACATCAGAGGTGCCTCCAGTTGCACCAGTTTGTAAAAGGAGACTTAAGAAAGAATCATTGCATGCATAGACAGAACCATTTAGCAACAAGAAGATGCAAATATAGATGAGAGAAAAAAAATTGATCCAATTTAGAAACCTATAGCTCTAATTTTTTCCTTTTACTAAGACAACCAATAACACAGACTATGTTAGAAGAGATAGGAGTCTTCATAATAATTCTATCTTACCGTAACAGTAAAAAAACAACAAACTGTTCTGTATGAATTCTGACCTGATATTCTTTAGCAATTATGTGAGACTTAGGATACCTTAGTTTTGTTTGGGTGTTCCAAATTCTTCTGAAAGAATCACCAATTTTTTGATTCTTTAGTGTGTAAAAAATCTACTGTTTCAGTATGCCTATGTCTTTTTTGGCTTTTGGTACTTTGCATGCATGTGACTTGTCTTCTTCGACGATTTATACTACTATATGCTATTTCTTGTACTTTGACTGTAGTATTATCTGTTATAGCTATTATTCCTTTTCTTTTAAGAATCCTTTGTAAGGTTTGCGTATACACTACCCTCACCTGACCTCACTTGTGGGATTACACCGGGTATGTTGTTGTTGTTGATAGTCTTTGTATAACATACATTCATTCATTTCCAGCCCACAAACTCCATAAGTATCTTCTCGATTCAAATTTCTAAAATGTGAAAGCTCCATTCTTTGTACATCAACATAATTTGGAGAACCTCATAAGACACAAAGCATCCAACATCAAAAGGGAAAAGTCATAATGACTATCTAAAATCACTATGCATTAAAGCAATAAAAGATACTAATAAGCCACGTTCTGTCACACCCTTGGATACATCCTTATGTTTGATGCTCTATCAAAACCCAATAGGATACTTATCATAGTAGCATATGAGACTCACTTCTTTCTATAGGTTACTTTTGATGTGGATGAGGCTTTAAAATCATTTTCATGGAAGTCGAACAGAGTCAGTCCTAGGGTGAAGATCATCGGATGGAAAAATGGATTGAGCTGGCTGTAGTTCTAAAGTTAAAGCAAGGAGTGCAGAAACTGAGGAGAAAACCTATGTTCTTTTGGCATCAACTTTTCATTCACCTCGGTTGTTATTTCTAATGTTTTTGGTATCATATCATTATCATTATAGTTGTTTATTGATGGGTAGCTAATAGCTATTATTATCAATAAGTAAATGCGGAATGTAACCCAACAGAACCAAGAACACCAAGAGGATCCTCAACTACCTAACACAGTCTAGAAGAGCACCTTCCACATTATCAAAAGACTTTCCCTTATGTAGTGCGCCCATTGGTATTGATGCTTCTAGTGCCTCTTCACAAAGAAAGGATTGAATTCTGTCCTGTTCCATCTCAAAAGAAGGACATCATGTTGGATTGATCTTTGTGATTGGCTTGTCTTTAGGAATCAACTAACTCCGTTACAGTCACATTCTCTGAAACTTGAGGTAAATCAATTCTTCTATCTTGTTTATGAGATGATAAAATCTATTCTTCTATCTTGTTTATGAGATGGTAAATCTTGTACTCACATTATTAAAAGTTTCTCAATTCTTATTCCCTTCTTTGTGTTAAAAATCCCTTGTATACCTGTCCTTTATTATATAATTAGCTTCGTGCTATTGTTCTCTCTTATCTCTCATTATAAGTCTTTGATAATTGATATCCCCTCAGTTCAACAGTTTCCACAGCTCCACAATTTTAAATTCATACTTTCACGAACTTACATAGAAATATGCTTCTAGAAGATACACAAAAACACACCTAAACATGAAATATAAACTGAAGGATACCTGGGAAAAAGTGATTGGCTATTCACGCTCTAAAACCAAGGTATCACTTTTTTTTTATAAGGTAATAAGACCAAAGTAGAACTTCTGAGCAATAAAATACTATTCAACAATAATCAAGCATTTATAGTATAGAAGCAACTTTTTGGAACTGAAATGATATCACATACTTGCAGCTTGTTCTAAACTTCATGTATACAGAATGCCATTATCTTGGAGTTAGTAAAACGACAATACAGTTTCCAAGCAAATACGATAAATTCTCACTTTATAGCCTAGGAGGGAGTATCCTAACGTTCAAAACATTGTATAAGTTGTCGTACTCTGACTGCACTGTGCTTACTGATGACTTTTGGTCAATTTAACAGCATAAAAATAGTATCTGCGTGAAATTGTAAATTTTCAACATTAAAATTATTACTTTTACAGTAACTTATTCTGTTTGTCTAAGCTTTCATATATTCATATGGCTACACTAATATCATACGTTTGAGACGAACTATTAGAGGTGATATTTGATAGATACAACTTGTTGAAAATATTAAATTCCTTTTGCAATTAGTTTTTGCGTGCAGTGTGAAGATAGGAATTTGGAATTACTACTACTGCAGTCTCAGCGCTACAGGTATGTTCTTTTCCACCCGTTATTACGATTTCTCTTTTGCTTTCTGTATTAATTTTCTGTATTTTTACTAAATTCTGCAAAGAATAATTTGGTTTGTTATAATTACTTTGAATTGTTTTATGCATGTAATTTCATTTGTTATAATTATTTTGAATTGTCTTATGCATGAGTAAGAAAGCGAAAGTAAACATATAATTTTATATACCATATTCAGGATAGATAACAGTTCTACAAATGTCAGACAAAAGTAATAAAAATCATCTGAATTCTGAAAAAGCTCATGCTGATAAAAAGGCTAGACGGCGTGAATTATATAAACTGGCACAATCTAATAAGAAAGATGCCTATCTAGCTGGCAGATGGGTAAACTCAGCCATCGACAATAATGCCTTCATCGGTGCTAGCTGCAGCACCACCACATTGTCTACACATGAGGAAACTCTTAATAGAGGTAAAATCGTTGGATAGGCTATAATCTAAATAATCTTTATCTACTAAATTTAGTTTTAAGAATTAACTATATTATGCAGGATGTAGTTCAACAGAAGTTAATTACATGGAAATCATCCACCCAATAACAAATTACGCTACCCTAAAAGATGTTTCCCGGTGTAAATTCTGCACTGCAAAAAGATTTGAATATGAGCCATCAGCATTTTGTTGTGGCAATGATAAACTATTTTCCGTTTTAAAATTTATTTTATTGCACCAATGAAGAAATTAATTGTCATATTTTTAGGGAGTTAAATTCCATGTAAAATAAAAAAGAAAAACTCTCACGGAAGAGTCTATTTGGATAAGATATTCTAAGAAAATTATATTAGTACTAAGTAGAGGTGGCCCGTGCTTGCGCGGGCCCAACATTGAAAGATTTTTGTTAATTAGATAAAAACATATAGAATGTATGAGTCGGATATATATATATATATATATATATATATATATATATATATATATATAAATAAATAGAGAGAGAGAGATGTAAACAGTATCATCAAGCTCTTGATGCTTCTGTTGCTCGGAATTTTCCTGATAATGGTTGCATTGCTTGCATGAGCCACAATACTGATGCACTTTACTGGTATGTGCACTTTCTATTTTGGTTAAATATTTTCCATTTTTGATGATGAACATCAAGTCTTTATAACTGAAATTTAGTTTCAAGTAATTCATTTGATGTCAGCATGATCTATATTTCTCTTCTTGTCCACTAATATTTTGGTCAGTTTCTTGAAATTTTAGAGATTTTGGAAAGTGAAGGCATGTTATAATATGTAAATATCTGATTTTTAGGACTGGTGGTGTTTTGGTTATTTTTCATTAAGAACAGAATATTTCTTTAGTCCTCTACAAAGTTAATTGTATTACCATCTAAGTGATCCTTATTTGGTAAAAGTTCTTATCTTTTCTTTGGTTACTAGCATACAAAGTAGTTTAATTTATAAACATATAGTATTATATTCATGTTGCTTCTGGCTGATATGATGAGCCAAATGAGAAAACACTTTAGATGGCATGGGTTTATCCAAAAAATTGCTGGAATGCTTATAAAAATAGTTTTTTTTGGCAAGTTGATGTAGTAGTGGCCAAGATATTTTTCTGTATTGATAATTTCAATAACAGATATGGATCATCTGTGTCTTTTTAGTTTCTCAGTGTCAATCTTTTTATCCTTTTGAACTTTATACAGCATTTAGTATGTAACTACTGTAAAGATTTGATAAATTGTTCGATTGACAATAGCATATGAATTTAATTATATACATTTGTTTATGTACATCTTTCTGATTCTGATTTTCTGGATAAGATTTGATACTCTCCTTTTGTTGTAGTGTAATACTTTTTTGCAATATGGTTGGCAACACCATTTTGTTTAGATGGTGTACACTTTTGGTGCTGATAGCATGGACTTTGCTGCATTGTTATAAAAAATTGATAGGTACTTAAATCTTGCAATCACTGATAAATTTTTAAACAAACCAGTACTATACTCAACATAAACTTCTCCCCATAACTATATACTAAATTCATTTTCTATGTTATTTCACAGGTGCTTTTTGAATGATGCTGACTAATAGTCAAAATGCAGCATTATGTAAATATTGTACATATCCAACCTAAATAACACAGCCATGACAACGAACAAAACAACAGCCAACCATATTTTATATATATATAATATATCTATCCATCTCTCTCTATCTATATATATATATATATCAATAATATTTTATAATTATTCTATTAGTCTGTAATATCAGGTAATTCAATAACACGTCATTGCGTCTCATTCTTCATAAGTATTAGTCTATAATATCAGGTTTCAATAACACGTGGTTGCGTTTTATTCTACATAAGCAGTAGACCACAGGTAGAGCTCCGCGTAGTGGCGGCATCGTCAGCTTATGTAAGGGTTCGGATATATAGAATAGAATAAAGATAAAACTAGGAAAGAGTGTGATCTCTTGTTCAAATCAGATATGATTAGACAACAAGACCAACTTGTATCTAAACACATTCTTTTATGGTGTGAATATAATTTTCACTTAAATAGAAAATCCAATCACTAAAAATTACTAACAAAACAAAAAAAAAAACAATAACAAGTACTCTCACCATTTTGTAAAAAATGATATAATTTGATTTGACACGAAGTTTAAAAGTATAAATTTTTTTTATTTATTTTGTGGTCTGAAAATAAAGTTAGATTAAATGTATAAAATTATTTTTTGATTTTATGGTCTTAGATATGCCACGTGAAATGTTGAAATTAAAATATTATCTAAAAAGAGAGATCATTTTTTTTTAAATAAACTAAAAAAAAAGAAAATCATTCTTTTTTAAATGAAGAAAATATTATTTTATCTGTTAAAATATTATTTCTTCTCTTCTAAAAAGAATTATCAATTTTTTTTATAGTTGATTTTTTTATAATGTTTTAATTTTAATTTTTTGACATATATTTAAAGTTACAAAATTAATGATATTTTGATATATTTAACATAACAATTTTAATTTTAATGTAGAGTAATAAATGCAACCTTCCGACTTCCAAACAGTTAATTTCTCTTCCCAAAACCTTTATGCACTCTGTAACCTACTAACCTCATTATTATTTTTTCGTATTGGATGAAATTTTTATTTTCTATAAATTTAGCCCTATTCATTGTTTTATACATCTGTAGAACATTTCAAATCCTGTTAGTTTTCTTGCAATATGGATGGCTCCTCTGTTCCAAGAATAAGGACTAGACAACAATTTTTAAAATACTGTGTGGATTTTATTGAGAAGAGGAACAAGTCCACTCAAAATGTAAGGAAAAAACCTAAGTTGGAAGAAAAGAATACAAAAATGGGTCAAATGAAGAAGGTGGAAAGTGGAAAGTCGACTGAAAATAGTAGTCACTCTTGTACTGATGTGAGTCGTGGGTTGAAAGGAAAAAAGACATGTTCTGGGAGAGGTGAAAAGGCAAAAATGGGAAAAAATGTGAAGAGTAGTAAGAAGAAGTTCACTTGTAAGTCCATCCACGAAACATCTGATCCTTCGCCTGATGATGTTGAGAAATTGGAACATGAGTCTGACGACGACGATTAATAATAAGTTGGAAAAATAGGTTCTTAAATTCTCCTCTCACTTACATTTAATTTTTTTTTGATAATTTATGTATCACTGGAAATTTCTCTTTTGTTTTTGTCAGGGAGAAGAAGGAGATTCAGTTTTGTCTTTGTTTTTTTGGCTCTACAAAATTGAATTATGGATCAACTCGGATTAATTAATATTTGGGCTCTTGTACTATTTTCATTTTCATCACTTCGATATTGTAATATCGGTTTTAATATATTCACCTACTTCTCTATTTTCTTGATTGTTCTAGTGGAGTCGTTATATCAATTCATACATTTGGATGACACTCATAGCAACTTATTCTCACATATAAACTTGTAATATATCAGTGATTAGCTATTTTCCTAGAAATATTTATTTTTAAACAATAAAGTAAAAAAAAGAATGTATTTTGCCAAATAAAGTTGTCTAATCAAATTGTAAGCCGTTTCCAAGTCATGCTAGGAAAACTTTATACTCCAAGAAAAGATATATAGTTGATGATTTCATCAATTTTACAAAACACAACATGGCTTCTGATATATTATTTTTAAAGTTACCATATGCTGTAGTGAAGAAAATTTTGTCTTGTCTAAATGTGAAAGAAAGAGCACCCACATGTCTTGGCATGACATGATAAAATCATTGGACGATCACAAATTTATCCGTAAATATCCTACAAAGGTATTCTGTGGATACTGCCATTACTATCCATTTTTCTCAATTTTGTGAAAAGTGCTCTAACCTCTTCACTGTCGCTGAAAATAATAGTACCGAAATCTATTTCTTACTCTACCAACTTCCTCTGCTTTATTCAAAATTTCTGACTCAGTTACAGAGTCCAGATCATTATCCGTTCTTCATTTAAAATGTGCGAAATTAAAGAGAATGATAATTAAGAGTTTCCTTGTTTGAAAGAGATTTGTTTCGATCAAGTTTGTATATCTCCTGCCAAATTTTGCAACATATGCCCTTCAATTGTTTATTTAAATTTGAGAGATTGTTCCTCCCTGAATTCTGTAGGCTTTAAAATTTAGAGAATATCACCTTGTTTATTCATCTCATAATAGAGGTATATATATATATATAATAGTCCTAGTTTCAATATTCCCCCTCAAGGCAGTGCATATATGTCTATCATGCCCAACTTGCCATTCATCTCGTGAAAGAACTTCCCTGATATAGCCTTGGTGAGTACATCTACCATTTGATTTTCAGACTTGACAAAAGGAAAATGTATAATCTTTTGATCTAACTTGTCCTTGAGAATAAAGTGTCGATCAATTTCAACATGCTTAGTTCGATCATGTTGAATAGGGTTCTGTGCTATTTGAATTGAGCTTTGTTATCACAGAATAACTTCATAGGTTCTATACATTCAATCAAGATCCTTCAGAACATATTTAATCCATAGTAGATCACACAAGCCATTGGCCATCCCTTGAAATTCTGCTTCTGCACTAGCCCTCGGACAACCTTTTGCTTCTTGCTTCTCCACGTGACAAGATTGCCTTCAACAAAAGTGAGATAACCGGAGGTTGATTTCCTGGTCAAGAGATATCCTGCCCAATCTGCATCTATATAGCCTTCGATGACACTTTTTTCATTCTTCATGAAAGACAATCCTTTTCCTGGAGCACTTTTCAAGTATCGTAAAATTCTATAAACAGCTTCCATATGATCTTCTGTTGGGTTCTGCATGAACTGAATCACAACACTTACATCATATGTGATGTCTGGCCTTGTGTGAGTCAGATAGATTAGCTTCCCTACTAGACGTTGATATCTGCCTACATCTTTTATTTTCTCTCCCGAAAAGTTTCCAAGTTTGTGGTTTGTCTCCATATGTGTATTAATTGGCTTGCATGCTAGCATCTCTGCCTCTATTATCAAATCTAGTACGTATTTTCTCTGATAAGGGGAAGTTTCCTGTATTGACCTTGATACTTTAATGCCTAGGAAATATCGCAATTGTCCTAGGTCTTTCATTTCAAATTTTGATGCTAAAAACTTTTGAAGTTGATCCATTTCATTGGAATCATTTCCTGTTAGGACCATGTCGTCAACGTACACAATCAACGTTGTTACCTTTCCTTCGTTGTGTTTGATAAACAAAGTGTGATCAAAGTTACTTTGTTTATAACCCACCGATGTCTTTTCAGATGTGAAACGTCCAAACCATGCCCGTGGTGACTGTTTTAACCCATATAATGCCTTCTTTAATCTGCATACCTTGTTTCTATAAGTGTGCGCCTGCATTATTCCTGGTGGAAGATCCATGTAAACATCTTCCTCCAAGTCGCCATTTAAGAATCCATTTTTTACATCAAATTGTCGCAATGACCAATATCTGTTTGCTGCAACTGATATAAGGATACGAATCATATTAAGTTTAGCTACTGGTTCAAATGTTTCCTGATAGTCCACTCCATATTCCTGCATGTATCCTTTTGCTACCAGCCTCGCCTTATACCTATCAATACTTCTATCTGCTTTAAGCTTTACATTATACACCCATTTACACCCGACAGTCCTCTTTCCTTTGGAAAGCGGAACCAATTCCCAAGTTTGATTTTTCTGCAAGACCTCTATTTCTTCATTCATCGCTTTTCTCCATTGCAATTTTGTTAATGCTTCCTGCACACCACTAGGGATAGACACTTTGGACAATTGATTAACAGTTAGAGCATATGAGGTTGATAATCTTTTGGTGGAGGTATAATTGCTAATATGATATTTTGAGTTGCCATTAAGATCAGGTTCATATTGTATTCTCGGTATACCTTTTGTTTTCCTGATTGGATAAGAATTAGGAGTATGAGAATCATTACACATAGTTTCAAGTTCATTGGAAGAGTAATTAAGAGGTACCTGAGGTATATGTGATTAAATAGAACATTCTTAGAGGGCTTATTGGTTAATGGAGTGACTATTGTACTTTCTGGAATAATTTCTCCATTGTCTTCATTTGTGGCTTATCTCTTTCTTCCCTAATCCTTTCATTGTCTTCATGTGTGACAATGTCTTGTTCCGAGATATTAGGATGTGCATTTAATATTTCCTCGTGAGCTTCTAATTCCAATAACTCAGTTTCTCCCCCTAAATCTCCATTCATCCTAGTCTCTTCTTTGTCATTCTCCACTGAACAGATGAGGATATAACTCAACCTCTATAATATGGTTCTGACTCACGGAAATATGTATTAGGAGTAACATATAGTTTCTTATTTTGTGGATCATAACACCAGTATCCTTTTTGAAATTCCGAATAGCCAACAAACACACACCGTCTTGCACACTGATCCAATTTTCCTCGTAGAGCGTTAGGTATGTGAGTGTATACTGTGCAACCAAACACCATTGGATCTAAGTTTGGTAGATGCGGAAGAGAACAAAGAGAATTGAGCTTTTGCTGCGGAGTTTCAAAATTAATGAATCTAGATGAAACCCGATTAATAAGATAAGTCGCCGACTTAACTGCCTCCCCCCAATAAATAGTTGGCATATTCATGCCAAAGAGAGATGCACAATCTCCATAAGCTGTCTATTTTTTCTTTCTGCTAGGCCATTTTGTTGCGGTATGTATGTGCAGTATGTTTGATGACGTATACCTCGTGGTCGAAGGTATTCGTCAAC